TGTGGATGCGCTATAGATTCGATTTTTCGTCGCATTTTCGTATGCAGCAAAATGTGTAATCTATTGTTTTGCAAGCATAAAAACAGCGACATATTTCAAATTTTTTAGACAAAGAGTAATTCTCTTTCCCTCCCACTTCTACCATTCTCTTCGGTTTTTCCTTCCTTCCTTTTCTAACATTTCTTGCTAGACATTTAGAAAGATCAGCCAAATGTGGTGTTACCTGAGAACGATGTAATGCTTCTTTCCAAATCTGCGGTCATCGGCATACTGCACTTTTCCTTGCAAGCAATATTTCGGCCCGCGTTTTTTACTTCGCAAATTTTGGCGTTTCACACTTAGAGGAAAATGGTTTAGGGCTATCCCTTGATGGATTCGATGTTGATAGTCAAATTTAGGCTTATAACGAGAAGTTGGAACTAGTGAAATTCTGCGTTTGGGCCCTCGGGTAACTGCAGTAATGAATGCTATCATGTACTGTAAAAATCATTGGTTTGAGGGTGGAAAGGAGCACGGTGTGCCGATCCTGATTTCCGAGATCCACCCCAGCCAGCCAGCCGAACGCTGTGGCCAACTGTACGTCGGTGATGCCATCCTCTCCGTTAATGGGATCGACTTGCGTACCGCAAAGCACAACGAGGCTGTACAGATACTTTCCGAACAGGTTTGAGGTTACTACTCTTTGTCTTTATGCTTCACTGTTCCAGACTTAATTCTTTTTACACTTTTGACTAAGAGTAGTTCGAGCGCTTGCTAAGCTATTAGCTATAAAAAGCAAATAACGAACTGAATGCGTTCAAAACTTATGAAAACGGAAAACAAGATGGCGTGAAAACAGGTAAAATAACGCTGGCTACTAAGGAGGTGATTTGACTGACAATATTGCTGAAGTGGCGGAGGCTGGCAGTAAGAAAAGGCCGCCACCCACAAAGCCCAATTTATGCTTTCAAGGGTTGCTTTAGTCCGCGCGTTTAGTGCTGCTATTTACGATTCCTCAAGAAGCTTTGATTGACAAAAAATTATAATGCTGGTATTCCGTTGCGCAAGCCAAAGATTTGAAGGTTTTATCTTTTTTAGCCTGTAAATTATACAATTCGCGGCAGGGGATAAAAAAAAAGCAAGACACAGATGTATTATATAGCCACAATTTTTCATTGAAATTTCAACGATATTTTTCTCGCTCTGAAGTTTGAAGATCTACAGAAAATTAGATCTGAGCGAAAGGCCAAAGCGAAGTTGATTGTTGATTTCAATTTTCAGAAGTTGATTTCAATTTCCAGATGTGCGATCGGGGACTTCTGAAAATTCCAAGCTTTTAATCATTTTAATTTTGGATTATGTGTAATAACCGAGTTTGCACCTGGAATGAAAATCTGTAGGGTGAAAAATAACCTAAAAGTAATTTCGGGTTCTATATCCGCTGTATATTCGGAAATTTTGTTTACAAAAGTAAAAATTTTTATGGGATGGGGTTGTTTA